AATACATCCTGAAGGGACTAACACCGAACTTCGACGTATTCCCAAAGCTAAGGGATCATTAGGACGAGTTCGTTGCTTACAAGACAGGGCAACAAGGGCAAGCGATGATGGCAAGAAACAAAGACAATGCCGCCAAGAAGAAGTACCATCACCACTTGGGGTCAGGCGGATATAGCGTCGCAATGCCGAAGTGGGAGGAGATGGAGGCAAGTTTGATTGAGAGGGGTATCGAACCGGCCACCGCTAAATGGCCGGATAGATCGAAGTTTTGGTACTATGCTCACGGTGGAATGCTTAACCCAGTTGATGGATCCCTTGTCTTCAGCGATCAGATACGCGAGGCTGCCAGTCGACTAACGGACGCAGTGGTAGCCTCTTCTCAGGGCACATTCCGACCCGACAGAGAGAAGGATGAGCTGTCACTCGCCCTACAGACTCCCGAGCATCCAGGACGAACACGAGGGAAAGGCGTGATTCCCTGGAAGATTGGATTTAAGGAGGACATCCACACGTACAGGAGTCGGATGAGGAGCAAGAGAGATACCGAGGCGAAGATTGCAGATCTTGAGTACAGGGTATCGAGCTACGAGCTCAGCATGTAAGAGGAGGTGGCAAAGAAGGTGGATGAACGTATGGCCGTACATCGGTCCCAAGATCCCCAGTCGTACATTCATCCTGCAATGGTCAGCCCATCAGACAATCGTAGCAGCTGCGCCTCAACGGGGCAGGTCGGATCACAGAGCATGGACGCCATGCAAACCCATGACGAAACCACCTGCCCCGTTGATGAGATCACGCAGCGGACACCATGTGAGCTGCATATTCCCTTCAAGAACTTATCAATCAAGGTATGCTCGTAGTTTGATGATTTTTGACTTGTACATTCCGCAAGTTGCTGCTTAGGTTGATTACTAATAGATAACCTCTCATCACGTGAAGGTGGCGTTGGGAATGGCCATCCCAACGGACCCTTCCGGGACTTACCACTGCAGGCCGATTCCAGCAGGATACTCGAGGGTCGAAGTTGAGCTGGTGGAAGCCGCGTACGAGGACCTCGAGTTGGACTACCCAGGAGAAGACGGTGAGACGCATCTACGAGACACAAGCCACGCCATCATACTATGGCGCAAGCGGTACATCATCCTTCCTGGGCGACAAGCGGCGTCTCGTGCACCATCTCCTCCGGCTCCGCCATCTCCTCCTGCACCATCTCCTCCGGTTCCTCCGCCACGTCCTCCTGCACCATCTCCTCCGGCTCCTCTGCCACCTCCTGCTGCACCATCTCCTCCGGCTCCTCCGGCTCCTCCAACTCCTCCGCCTCCACCGTGTCCGCCTGCACCTCCCAAGACAAGGTCTCGCCAAGCTCCACCACCTGCCCGCACAAGGGCAATGAAGAAGGCGAAAATTGATGCCACCAAAAACAAGGAGCCACCGTACGATTGCAGTCAAGAGGAGCTTGATGCTTATGTGGCAGGAGAGGTGAAGAGTCAACTCAAGCCTCGGAGTCCTGAAAAGAAGATACCTATTGACCCGAGCGTGAAGAACTTCTTCAAGGGAATGTTCACAACAAACAAGGAGGCGTTACAGATATCGGACTATGACCGAACACTTCAGAGAGCCTATCACAAGAAGTCCAAACCAGTCCCTCAGCTTGGAGAACAACCAAACCAAGAGGTCGAGCTGTTGGTGACCGGCGAAGATTTTGGCATAACGGAATTCATTGCAGACACCGGTCTAACTGTGGATCAGTTGGTTCGAGGCGCACCAATCCCGAAGGCAGAAGTGGCATACAAGTTTGAACTCGGTAAACCGCTTGTCAAACCTGAACAGCTGCAGTCCCTACCGACATAGATGTACAAATTCCATGAACGGTACATGGAAATGAGTGCCAAGGGTAGAGAAGATGTTCTCATGATCCATTTCAAGGATCTCTTCGATCTGTACCAGTTGGACGCCCTCGACGTCTCTCTTCTGAGCGCATGGATTTTGTGAGTATCTTTGAGTTCGATTTGTTTCGTTCAATAATTAGCTCATGGCATATATGTAAGCAATAATACTTTCCTTTCATCGTTGTAGAATGGAGATTCAAAGGGCCCGACGGCGGAGGGTCTACGATACTAGGTTCATCGACCCTCGGAAAATCAACACCGAAATGATCGACAAGTATGAGAAAGACATAGAGGACAATCTCGTCCATCTCCTAACGCAGCAGCATTTCAAGACGTACATACTACTGCCGTACAACACAGGGTGAGTTTTTATTGTCGTTCGAACAAATTTCGTTCCCATACATATAGCATGTACATTTTCGATCATATATATCTCATCTCACGCATATTCCAGATTCCACTGGGTCCTGTTATTCTTCGACTTGGACGCATGCAGAGTCACTGTGTACGACTCAATGAATAAAGAGGAGAAGATTTTTGACAAGGTCTTCAAACTGATAGACAGGTAATATAATGCCATCTATTCCAAAGTCGCGGGGAATCTATTGCTATTATGTTGATCTCAGATAATAATTAATCATAGCTTGCAAATGCATATGTAGGGCTTGGGATCGGTTCCGTCAATTGGTCCGCGGGACTTGGAAAGAAAAACTTGGACGGAGGTTTCATTTTCCAGTGAGTACATGCATGATCCAAAATTATATTGAATTGAATCTCTAATTACAGTTAATATAAAGAGTATATTAAATCTCTCATCGTTTCTCATGTAGTGTGCAAAGCAGGACCAGGGAACTAACTTATGCGGCTACTATGTATGCGAGTATGCCCACTGCCTATCAAACCAAATATGCACAACAGAGAGCTCGATGTACGTATACATAAACCATTCAAAAGTTCATTGCGTATCGATTTGTTAAGTTGTTTATTAATTTCATATATTGATACGTCATTATTTTTCGAATGATAGCGTATTCACATGAGGGATAATCTCCCACACAAGGATTTTATCACGGCTGTTCAAGAACAACTTATGGGATTCATCAACGAAGAAGTCCTTAATCCCGACGGTGAATTCTACTACGACGGATCGACAATTCATAACGTCGGTCCTTCCTCTTATGACATAACGCCGGCGTCGAAGTCGTAGCTATATATAGCTACCGAGCAAAAGAATTATACTATATACGCATGTATATATATATATATATTTATATATGTACATATTTACTTTTGTGTTAATATATATTTTGGTAACATATATATATGCACATAAAATGTTAAGTGCTTTAAATTATACATATGTGTGTAATATATGATTTACACACACACACATGTATATATATAACTAACCATGCAGCAAACAGGGCCATGAAAAAAAAATGGTGCACCGATCTTTACTCCCGGTTGGTAACACAAACCGGGACTAAAGATGGTTTGGCCGGCCATGTAGCTGATCGATCTTTAATCCCGGTTATTTCACTAGGGACTAAAGATAGCTATCTTTAGTCCCGGATTTATAGTCCCAGTTGGACAACCGGGACTAAGAGGGGGTTACCAACCGGGACTACAAACGGTTTCTCCACCAGTGAAACATTGGGTAAAGGATGATAAAAAAAAATGGTCCAAGTAATACTTCTTCTACTAAAAGTATTTGCCTCAACCCCTCGTCCCCAGATCCTCTTCTATCTCCCTTAATCCTAAGATGAGTGCATTGCATCATGGCATGCATCATTTTGTTTTGAATTGCATTGTCATCACATTCTCACTAGAGATCATCATGCCTGTCCGGCCAAACAGATTACTGTATGCTGTACCTACGGCTGTAGTAGTAATAAAACCTCAGACCTCAGTAGTCGAGAAAGAGAGCGGCAAGATGGATCGCTTTTTTCTCACTCTTTCGCTCGTCCCTTATGAATTATGATCGACATGCTCCAAGATCCAAGATCCATCATCCATGATTTGTTAATGTTTGGGTGGTTAGTGGCGTACGCAGTGTGGCCATGATACTATATACTCCAATCAATTTGCTCATGATCGATGCAAACCTGTCAGATCCTCCCGTGTGTAACGTGCTTTTAGTGGTAGGCGTTTAGTCTAGCCGAAAATTTCGATTTCGGTATTCAGTTTTTCGATAATTTCGGTTTTTAAAAAGTCAGGACCAAATTTCATCCAAAAAAGTTAGGACCGATAAATTCGGTCTCGGTCTCGGTCTGACCGAATTCGGAGGAGCCGGGACGGAGGTGTGCCGAGACGGGGCCGACTTGAGGCGGCACACGCCGTCGATGCCGATGCGGCGGTGGTCGGTGACTCGGTGGGAGTATGGTGGTGCCGACGCATCGTGGTGGAGGTGGAGGATGGATCCAGCGGGCAGCGCGACCGGCGAGGCGGCATGAAGGCGGAGACGGCGCTGGCAAGATGGAGGCGGAGGGTGGAGGGCGGAGGACGGAGGTGGTGGCGCCGCGCGATGGGGGTGGAGACGGAAGCAGCGCGGCCGCGCGGGATGGATAGGCATGCGGCGGCGATGGGGATGCGGACCCAGAGGGCAGCGCGATGGGGGATGGATGGGGATGTGCCGATGCGGCATGTGGGTTGGAGCGGGTGGCCTCTAGGGTTTAGTGCAGTATTGGGCTTATTGGGCCTCTAGACCTATTGGGCTTGTTCTCTCGGTTAATTCGGTTAACCGAGCCCAATAACCGAATTACCCAAACAAATTTTGGTCTTTGACAGGCTGAGACCGAATTACTAACCAAATTTCTTGGTCTCGATTTTTTCGGACTTGGTCTCGGTCTTTTTGTTTGGTTATTCGGTTAGGTCTTATATTGCCCACCCCTACGTACACAATGATCGTTGACAGTAGTGGGCCTATGGTGATCCTAGCGATGAAACCGCCTAGCCCCGTTAGGTTTCAGGGTAACCACGTAATGGGCCGAAAACTCCAGCCCAACATAGATCCCCTCGTATCCGGCCTGGCCCAAATTTTCCTGCGGCCCACGTACTCCATCCTTCACCTGGGATTAAGATATTTTCATTTTTCTCCCTCCAAAGCAACACGAAGGGCGGCTAATGCTAATCTGAAATCTCCTCTCGCCCTATCGGTTCCGCTTCTCCTCTCCCCTCGCCATGTCGCTTGCCGTGGCCACTCCCGCCTCCGCCCGCCTCTCCCCGCTCACCACCTCCTCCCCCGAACCCTGCCGCCGCCGCCGCCTCCTCCTCTCCGCAGCCGCCCCTCTCCGGCGCACCCGTCTCCGGCGCCGCATCGCCGTCGTCGCGTCCGTCCCCGACCCCGCGGCGCGGCCGGCGGAGTACACGCCCTGGCTCATCGCCGGCCTCGGCAACCCCGGCAGCAAGTACCACGGCACGCGTCACAACGTAAGCGGGATGCCTTCTCTCGTTGCGCACCTTCCTGTCCGATTTGAGATGCTCACCCTCTCACCGCTTTGTGCTCGCGTTCGCGTTCGCGTTCGTGATTAGGTGGGGTTTGAGATGGTCGATCGCATCGCGCGAGACGAGGGGATCACCATGAACACGATCCAGTCCAAGTCGCTGCTCGGAATAGGTACCGTACTCTCTTGTTGCAGTGGAGTGGACTATTTTGTTTCATGCTAGGGATCTAGTTGTGCAGTAATGTCTGCTGTTGCAACTGGTATCTAAATTAAGTCCCGTACTTGGTAACAGCAGCTAGACCTACATTTTAGCTGAAATCACAGTAGTTGAAGCAATTGATTTGGTGCAGAAGACCACATTGACCTTTGTATGAGTTATTGGGATGTCAATTTAGAGTTTGGTGACGTAAAAACATGTTTTCAGCAAGTTTTAACAGAACGAATTCAATGTTTTACTGGTTACCAACTTACCAATCTTATTCTGATATGGAGCCCCTGCCTTTTCTACTCTCGAGTTCTGTCCTTGTGGAATACTGGCGGGGATGTTTTTCATGAACTCACAATATTTACTCCAAATTTCAGCAGTTCTTAGTTTTAGCGAAACTGGATTTCGTTGTCTACTTCTCTCCACTGCCTTTTGCAGTTCCTCCAAATCCAACTTAAGAAATATTATTGTTTTTCAGACTTAAGATTCAATGAATATAGGTACTGTATTCTTTGGCCTTTTGTACAGGGATAACTTATTTTTTTAGGATAGCACAAGTTATTTAATTTGATTGCATTTAACTGTGAAAGTTCTAAGAAACAATCTTCATGTTTAAGAACAATCAACCATATATTTCTGCCGATTGACAGGGATGTTGTTTGGAAGTACCCCATCCCATATGTTGAGCTAAAGCCAAGTATGCTCATGTCCTATTTCTATTTGAAAACCCAGAACTTCATATTTGCATTGAAAGTTTAATTTGCAGATTGGATATCCGACCATTCTATCATGTCTGATCTACAGTTGCACTGAGCTGTCGTTTCTTTCATTCACATATAATGATCACAATACATACTGTACTACAGAGGATCATTGTTAAAATTGCCTTCATTAGTGCTCTCATGCCTTTATTTAGTATTAGTAATATTGTTCAGATTGTCGGAACTTGGAAGTACTAAATATGTGCAGCAGCATATGTTTGATGCACCAATTACTCCTGAAGAAAGTACAATAACCTCTTTCACTGAAGTTTGTCTAGTCCACTGAATATTTTTTTCTTGCTGGAAGTATAGTCTCATGAACTGCAGTATGTATAGCAGTCAGCGTCATAATCTTGTTATTGATATTGTAAATTCCTGTTGTTCGGTGGAATTTTTGTGCAGGTTCGATTGGGGAAGTGCCTGTCTTGTTGGTAAAGCCACAATCATATATCAACTACAGTGGGGAGGCAGTAAGTTCTTACTATTGTTTTTTTTTAATTTGCAATTTTTAGCTTGTGAATAATAAAAAGCAACTTCATACTGGCTACTACAAATAAAGGCCTCTTTAGAGGGCTCTCCCTCATTGTTTTCCCATAAAAAAATTTGTCTGCAGGTAAGTTACTCATAGAAATAGCAGCCTCTTATTTTCAAAAGAAATGCGACATATTTTTATGTGCCAAACTTTGTCGTACATGACCTGTTATAAAATATTCAGGGCAGCTGAACTATAAAATTAACTTTTTGATCTGTTTGGTTCTATGCCAATCTTAGCCAAGCCATTTTTTTGGGCAATGGCAAGATTTGGTCATACCAAAATTCTTGGCAAGGTTGTTGATTGGATTGTTGCCTTTTCTTTTTTTTGGCAAGACTACCTAAGCTTTGACTTGTATTGCACCGAAAGGGATGCCAAATAATTTGGCAATGCCAATTTTTTGGATCTAAACCAAATGAATGCAAAAAAAATTGGAATGCAAAATTTTTGGCATGGTTGAGTTGGGCAATGATCCAAACAGGCCCTTCATTCTTTTTTTTTTTTGAAAATTACTGCCTGCTAGCAATTTTGACAAAAATAAGATCAAGTAAACACAAACCTTTCCTAAATCTTTGATCAAGTAAACACAAATTAATCTCTAATTAATAAGAAACAAGATGAGTCTGCGGGGATCTTCAAGTTATATTTCTACCTTTAGACTCTCTTATTAATTAATTAATAGTAACTTTCAAAGCAGAAGTACTTTGAATTGGGAACATGATACAAAAGGAAAGCACCAAATGTTGATAATATTTGGAATGAATAAAAAATATACCTCAGCATATAACTCCTTATTTCTGCTCTTTTTTTTTTCTTAAAATATCATGCATTATGTCTTATGGTGAAATGAGACTATAAATTGTTGTTAGGACTTAAGGATCACCTGTTTTCTTCATTCTAATGTCATATAATTTCTTGCAACTTCTCAAATCACCCTGTACGATCGTGCTATCTTGTGAAGATTGGACCTCTTGCTGCCTATTATCAAGTACCATTGCGGCATATCCTTGTGGTACATCTTGTCACTGTTCTTGCGCTGATTTATGGCTGGTATTGAGTAGCATGTGCTTGCAACTAACATCAGTATGTTCTGTTTACTAAGATGTATGATGAGATGAGTCTACCCAATGGTGTATTGCGTCTTCAACGGAAAGGTGGTCATGGTCGCCATAATGGGTAATATCCAAGTTTCCAAATATCTTATACCTTTCTCAGTATCGTACTTGAATGTGAGTTGATGAAATCTTCGAAAAGGTGGATAGCTGCATTGGGTTTAAATGCTTCAGTATGCTTGCGCCTGTTCAGCTTTACTCTATATAGAGAAAATTGTTAATTTCTTTCTTGAGAGGCTCTATGGAGCCTGTTAGTCTGCTTATAAGTATTATGTGTTTGACATAGCTGTCTATGTGGTCCTAAACTCCTAATAGTTAGAGACGTTACCTTTTATTAATCCAATACCCTGACATCGCTTCACATTAACCAGTTTCTGTGAAAAACAGCCTGCAGAACGTAATGGAATGTTTGGACAGTTCCCGTGAACTTCCTCGTTTATCTATAGGTACGTCACCATGTTCACCATGCATTCTCTGGAAATTCATATTGGACCAATATTGAGCTATTGACTGCTGGATATAGGCATTGGTAGCCCACCCGGCAAAATGGACACGCGTGCTTTTCTTCTGCAGAAGTTCAGTTCAGAGGAACGGCTGCAGGTATTGCTTTGCTCTATGTTTTAGTGTTTTGTAGAAGATATGCCATATAGTGTGAAAAACTCTTGCCTGTAATTTCTTGTCTGCTGTGACCTATTTTTTCTCTGCTTCACCATGTTCTTCCCTCCTTTCGCTCTCCAGTAATGCTCCAGTACAGCTGTAGTGATAACAGGCTAGCGCTATTATAAATTTATTATAATTCATCATAAAAGGATAAAAGATAGAAACAGGAAAAAGATAAAAGATGTCCTACCATTTGGTTCGATCACCACAATCGATGCACATTGATATTGGATGTAAGTTGTAATGTTCACACTTTGTAGAAATGTTCATGTGCAAACTCATCTTATTTATATACAAAGAATAAGCTTCCAGGTTGAAGAGACTAATACTTTGGAGTACCACAACTAGATCCCCCCGACCCCCCAACCAGGAAAAAGTTGGTTCTGGAAAAGAACATTAGGGATCTTACCTTTTGCTTTGTCATTATAAAGAAAAAAAACTGCTGTTAGTTAACCCTCAAGTTTTCACATTTTCCATTGAGCCTCTATTTTTCTCAGAGCAACTCTATGATATGGTTGTTGCTTCTTGAATAGTGATCTAAATTTGTTCTGTAAATTTGATCAAGATTGACACTGCTTTGGAGCAAGGGGTGGATGCTGTGAGAACTCTTGTGTTGAAGGGTTTTAGTGGAAGTATTGAGAGATTCAATCTGGTTCAGAAGTACAAGTTCCACAGTGTTTGAGAATTATTAAGAGGCTTGGATATACTTGCTGAGGACGCATAAATACGCATCATCAATATCATTGGAAGTGTCGGACGTGGTACTTTGCACAATCTACGTAAGTGCACTAAGTTGCTTCTGCAGTATCCTATAATTTTGAGGATGCTAAGAAACTTGCAGGGTGTATATAGGTAGAGTACTTTTGCATTCTTTCCTTAGAGCAATTTTCATTAGAGAGGTAGTTGTGACCTCTAATTTTGTTCATATGTAAGCTACTTATTAAGTATAAGAGGTAGCATATACAATACACCACCTCTACACTAGCTTTATTACACTAACCCCAATAATCTAAAAGTATTTTCATTTTATTTGTTTGTTTAATCTACTCTTCTCTTTTCATATAGAGCTTATGTAGAGATTGCCCCTTGAGTGAGGGGTGGCTCCTCCTATCCCTCTTCTCTTCTCTCCCTCACCTCATCATGTGAGCCAACATGCAATCTTGGGGCAAGTGCTTAGGGGTTTATTTTAATTGCTCTTAAGAACACAAATTGTTTACTCAAATTGGAAGCTAAATATGTTATTTTGACAAAGTCTAGAATTACTTGTCACTTCTGTAGGTTAATGACGAAGACACTTTAGTGATGTAAAAGAGGAAAGAGTCTTTCCTTCTCCTGCTTCCTAAATCTCTGATTTTATCATGCAAATAAATGTAGCTGTCTTTGTTGGAGTGGATCATCTGCCTGCAAAGTGATCGTATAGGTGTTTTTATTACTCCGGCCGTACAACTCATTTTCATCAACTTGATGTGGTAAAGTTGTTTAGTAGTCTGGCATGTTATATATAGACTTATAGTTATACATGTCTATGCCCTGATGTTATCTTGTCATTAAGAAACTTAAGGAGATCCTTAGCAAATCTTTGATAAGGACTTGATATTGAATATTGTTTTCTATTTTCTTGTGCTGATATGTCAGTCTGAACTCGTGAGGGTGAGTATGGGCAGAAAATTTTCTTTGCCATGTAAAAGTTATCTCAACTTCTCGCATCAGTTAACCTACAGTACTATCTAGAATAAGAGTCAAGCTGATTTAACCCTCTACTGTTCAGGGCTAATCTGTAACTTTTGGTGATTAAATGCCACCTGCAGCTCTCTTGCAACCTATTATCTAGCTTAGCTTAATAAAAAACTAGGTCTAGAACATTGCGATATGTGATAATTTAAGGAGGCGACATCTGTTAGGCTTTGGTTAATCTATTTTCAAGTGATGACAGGATCCTCTGGGTATTAGAGTACATGAAGATGGTGATTATAATTGTATCACCTTCTGCTTTCATGCCTTGTTTCCCTATTCTCACTTTGTTTCTGCAGTCATCCTATACTTATATCTGTGCATGCTAATATGCTACCAAATGTGCACAAAGCCACAAAATATACTGAAGGCAGTTGTTTACCTCTTAACATGGGGCCATATATTTTTTAGTACCATGAAATGCAAACAATAATCTGATGCGAACATCCATAACACTAAAATCGCATCATATTGTTTTCCTTTTTGTGTTTTTTGGTGGCTGGTACCATGAGCATGAAAAATATCATTTGTTTGTCAGTTTTTATAAATTCTATTTTTTTTTCTGTGGTATACTTTCTAACAAGAAGAAAGGCAGTGAGGGAGCAATGGGTGAGGAGAGCATCATAGAGTAGAGACTGAGGATACATGGAGTTGAGCAAGAAGGCTAATAGTTTTTCTTTTTTTCTAAGGTGGAATGCCATGTGGGCTAGCTCTGTCCAGCATGCGTGATTGTTATCATTTGATGAGGCATTTAACACACTTATCCCACACACTTGCAGTAAGTATTTTTTCTGCCTTAAATGGTTGCTTGATTAAATTTATGGTTATGCATTGCATTGTCTGGCATTGGAAGTGTGTGAAAGCTAAAGGAAATAAGCATGCACCCCTTCAAAAATAAGATGCAATAGCTGTTGGGTTCTTCATTCATATTCGGTGAAGAGATGCAAATCAAATTTTAAAAAAATCATCGATGTTGAGTTACTATTATACATTGGTCCAAAATACCCGTGTTTTAGTAACAATTTGTAAGCTGCTACTTCCTCCTTTTAACATTTCTAGATCATCACTTAAAATATCTTGTGAAAGAACCATCTAGAGGTGAATGTCTCATGAAGTGGAAATTCTATCTTATGATGATCCAAATGTGTTCGTTTCTTGCTGGCTTAAAAACAAAGTGTAACATTAACTTAATCAGTTCTTTTTACTAGTACATCAAAGTGAAAATGGAAAGAACTAGTCCAAGTGCAGTACTACCTATGTTCCAGAAAAGCTAGAGATAACTTGTGGTGTGATATTACCAATAAGGCAATAACCACCAGGTGATTTGTCTAATACATCACAAAGATACGATATTTGTCAAAGGCTTAGTTTTGACCTTGGTTTAAAGACCAAAAAGCATTAGTCTAATTACCTCACTTCCACTACTTTCTGCTAGGAAAATTCCCTCCGCCTAATTCTTTTCTAACCACCAAGTGGATTCCAAAGTTTTAAAGATTATATTATCTAAAGCTCTTTCCTCCACCATCACGTTACCTAAACTACTTGCTAATCCTTTTCTTAAAGCCATCACAGAAGTAGGGTATGGAGTAATCATACATCTAATCCATGTGCATCCATCTGTTGATCACTCGCTCACAGAGGCGCATTAGATTTACCAAGTGTCGTGATTGTAGCTGTATATATTAGCTTAATTCACGGGCTATGCTGGATCCCTGTTTTAAATATTTTCTGCTGTGACGATTAATCCTAGTGCTTGGTTAAGCTTTGGACATTCTAGATTATAAGATTTTGTTCTAGGTGTTTCTTTAATCCCTCATTGCATAATTAAGTATACTGGAGAATCACTTCACATGACTTTAAGTGAAATCCACCCAATCTCAAGTACTTATTTTTATGGAGTAGGTAATGTCACTTGGCATACTAGAACATAGTTTATAGTCCTTGCTCACACTGCCTGGGTTTATTAACTAGCTTTGAAACTTATTCTTAAGGAAGATATCAAACCCAATTATTAAGCCAAACCATTCTTTAATCCCCCGTGGTGGCCCAAAAAGCACTTGTGGAGAAAATAAAGAGATATGGTTACTAACTTGAGTGTTATATATACACGCATTTATATATATATATATTTCCTAGGAGCAAAATGGGTGAGGTCATCCAGGGGATTAAACTATGTGCTAAACTTGTCATCATGAGCCCAAAAGAAGGATTTTCCTTTGAGAGCACAACTTGGTGCGGGCCCCTTATGGGATTCGGGTGATCTTAAATGTTGCCAACTTTGTGCTTGCAATCAACTAACAAAAATGTTGGGGATGTGACCAGGAGCCTTTGTTGAGGCAACACAACAAACAACAAAAACATGGGACCTAGTGTGTCTAGCTTGTAATCAAGCGGCAAGTGACATGCATTGTATCTTATCAGCACCCGTCAAGGCTACTGAGTGGTGTTTTCCTGCTGCTGTGATTAAATGCTTAAATGAATGGTTCACATGTGTTAGGTGCTCCATGGAGTAAGGTGCCGTGACTGCCGTCTAGGGAAGCCTTGTGCAAGCCATACAAGGCAGTGGCAAGCTTTCTTATCTCCTTTTTATAGCCTTGTTTCTGAGCATTATTGCAGTAGCTTTGTAGAAGATATTTGGATCAAAACTATATTTTTTCTGTTTGTATAATTGGATAGTCAACTTGATAGATTTTATTTTCTAGTTGCAAATAAGGCTCTGTATTATATTAGAGAAGCAAATATGCATAACCAGCTAAGAGTGCCACAGGAGAACTATACGAGAGCCAAGAGTGCATAATTTGTGTTTTCTTTTCCTTGAGGGTTAGAGAATGTGTAGATGAGGTGCTCAGTGCACTGCAATGCAAGGTGGAGACCACTGTAGCAGAAAAAGCTATTGACCTATGCAACACCCAAATGAAGTTGTCCCTTGTTGGATAACCTCTAATCTTTAATTGGTGGGACACTCAGATGATTCAATGACCTTATGCTTGTTTTTGGTCATAAACTAGGAAATAGTAAGTGGAACGACAAAAGGAAACGGGTACATGCATTTTATTCCCTACATTTTAGATAGGACATAATCAAATAAAGGGAGATAATATTGACATGTACAGAGATACATGTAGGAACTCCTCTTATTGTGTTCCTAAAACCAAACCTGTCTAAAACCCTAAAAGAACCTGTCTAAAACCAAACCTGGAGGTTCATGACAATAACACAATTGTTAAACTATATAAAATTATATCCAGAGCTTATGTTTGAATTCAATCCTGAGATAATGCTTTCTAGCACCGTTTTCATATTACAATGATTACTTACACTTCTGGGATCAAATCTTAATAATTTGAGTAAAGATGAATGTAACTGTAATACTATTTTATTAACTCAACTTGCAAAATATGATCAAGTGCATCTGCATGTTATGATCAAGTGGATTTTTTAGTTAACTATCTTGCCGAGTCATCAAAAACCTGAACCTCATCATACAATGCATGTGCATTTGCTGGTCGACTAGAATGCATATTAGATTCTTTGCAAGCATAAACAATTCATATTAGTGAAGGAGAACTTGCATATTAAAAGAAAAGACCATGTGCTTTGCTGCAACCTGCAGTCTGCAAGGAAAGCATTTTGGATGGCTTGCCTTCCAACCGTCCAAGCTTCTTTCAGACAATTCCTCCTGGAATAAAACATGTTAGATATTCCGAAAGTAGTTGGTGTCTTTATGGGGTCCTAGAATTGCTCATCCTATAAGGAAGCTCAGAGTATGGAAGGACACAGGACAAGTAGATGAGGACTTTTGAAGTTAAAGAAGCCAAAGTTTCTTTATAGAACGTAGCAACTTGGCTCCTCTACATTTTTGTATTTTGCTAGAATAGTCACTAGCTTGGGGGATGGGTTAGAATCAGTCCTAACAAGTTAACTTTTACTGCTCTCTTCTTGTTCGATCCATACATGGGAGATGAATATTTTTGGCTCAAGTTCTGTCCTATGAGATTGGATGGTTGATCATAATGAATATGTATTTTTTTTGTTCCACTTTAAATTATTAGATACGTTACAGTCCTTTAAAATGATATTATGGTTTGTGGAACTAGCTACATTTCTTCAGATTCATGGAAAAAGTAGTTACTGTAACTTGACTAAAACGGTGTTTGTTTGGACAAATTTATTGATAACTGACTATTAAAAATTAGATGGTTGGACAAATGGACATATCATTGAGATCGAACCTAGCTAATATGCCTTCTATGTCAAGGCAATTGGTATTCATTTCATGTCATCTTTCCCAGTTGCTCCCTGTAGAGTGAAGGGGTCTCAAAATCAGAAGAAGGTTTGAAATGAAATATGACTAGATCTGACTGAAAGGAACACTTCAACCACTCTGTTTTGGGTATCTGACAGGAAAATTACTGTAGTAGATAAGAACCCAAACAGGTTTAGTGTTCCTAATAATTCAAATTGGACCTGTACAGGAGTAGGATCTATCTCAATTATAGCATGCATGGTGGTCACATGTGTACAACTTTCCTTCCTCACATCATTGCTTTTCTGAAATGTGCATCATATTGTGTAATATTGTTGATGTTTTTTATGCTTTCCATGCATTAGCTTACAGGCTAGAAAACAATCTTTTCTATTTTTCTTCTCTGTTTCAGGACAGTCATCTTAGGAATTCACGTGAATTGGTACCTCATTTGGCATATTAATTACACTGTTCTTCGTAATCTAGAAACTTGAAACGATTGAGCTGCTGGGTTACAAGTTAATAGAATTGTTTACTAGGAGATCCTATACATTGATTGAATTAGATAGGTGATTAGTCTAGATCCTCCAATTATTTAGAAACAAAAACTCCCTCGTCCATCTGTTCAAAAAACTGTAATCACAATATGAACTCGTGCCGTGTAAAATAATTCACAAAGAAGCTTGCTTAGTTTTTGTCGGTAAACGGTCTTGAGCTCATTGTAAGCCGATAATTATGCATGATGTGAGTAATTATTGGCTCTTACAGGAATATTCATGAGCTTTGGTTATTGAATGCTTGTCTAGATATGTAGCACCGTTTACAAAATGGATCAACTGGGGAGCAAGGGAAGATTCAATGCATGTGATGTTTCTTATGTAGCGTCTGCTAGTCTGAATTAGAATCTAGGAACTGTTACTAGCTATGTATATCAAAAGTTTATCATCTATCTATTACATATATTTGTTGGTTAGTTTTGTACAGAATATTAGTTTAGGTTACAGGTGTCAATATCAAATAAAAGGCAGCTTTGTTGAAATGAAATGGGCTATCAGGTTAACTGATTCATAAGAACCTATGGACGCTTATTAAATGATTCTTTGACTCTACATTTGTTGTGGATGGAGGCTGTTTAGAATAAAAAAGGGTACGGACATATATACTTTATGGTCACCAATGCAATCAAGTATTTGATCAACTTGTCTAACCTGAAACAATTAAATTAAGCTGAAGGTCCATGATCTAAGCATAGGTAGAAACTACAGAGTAAAAAACGAAATGGATCAGATTAAAGCCACCTTAGGTGACAGCTATATAACCACCACTCCTCTATGTGAAACTACTGATAATATATTGAAGATATCGTCATTTCTTTAATAACAGCACTTGCTACCTCAAAGCTCATGTTTTGGTATTTGAAAGGGATAGAAAGAAAGGAACTGAGGGGAGCTGAGTTTAGGGGACAGGGTGGGCCTTGTTTAGAAGTTGGAGAAAGACTTTAGAAAGAGAGGAGATAAGTAGGGAATTTGGGAGTGAAAGATACATAGAACCTTTCTTGGATGGTGGAGGCGAGATTATGTTAGAGAAAAAAAGATGCAGAATTCTAGCTTTCTCTGGGGTTAGTAGGATTTGGGGAGATTTCTTTACAACCGGGTTGAAGCAAAAGTCTAACCAAAAAGGTTGCTGATTTGAACTTGAGACGCAGGAGATTCTGGGCTTGATATACAGCCCCCAATTAGTTTAGCTGTGTGAAAACACGTACTGTATTAAGATAAAAGGCAATCTCTGCGCACTAGTTACAATTGTGACTTATAAAGGCTTGCACACACACATGATCTGATCCTCCTGGATGCTGCAAAAGTTGCAATGTGTATATAGTGAATGCATGGCAATTCCTTCCTCCTTTTGATTGTAAGTCAAACATGATTTCTTCTAACAAGGTAGTTCAACTTTACAAGTGCCAGTGACCTCTCAGGAGTTGTCTTTTCTCTACAAATGACGCCTATGGCAAGTACAAAGACAAGAAAACCCACCGCATCAGCTGAGCTTTTAAGGTACATGTTTTTCTTGTTAGACATGACTGATCCAATGTTCAGGTAAAAGAATTACTAAAGATGTTAGTAAAGCAAACGTACAAGAATATCAGATGACTGTTCTTGAAGAGTTGTAGGATGATCTAGCATAGCCTGGTGCTTAATTACTAACCTGCACCAGCATTCTACTCAATTACATCATAATACTGTGGTAGTGCATAACTGTGCAAATTATGACATACAAAATAAGATCGTATTCTAATTGACATGGATTCCGCTTCTTATTTTACTTTATAGATCAATTTCTTGAAATTGCCTTTTATATTTCGATGATCCCAGCTTCCGTTGCTGATTAATTCCCACTCATAGTAGTACACCAAGTGGAACTCTTTTCACTTGAGTAGACTAGCAATAATTGAACAAATCTTAATGCTTCATTACTTAAATTAATAATGTGAAATGTTGGGGAAAATATAACTAGCTAGGTTGGCAAAATATATTTTCCATTTTATCGTGCCTCTTTTATTTCCCCTTTTGCAAAGTTTTTCTTCTGCATTGTGTTCCTTTTTTGTGATTAAGCTTAAATTTCTGCCAGATAAAAACAGATACATTCCGAACACTGGGAACATAATTGCGTCAATTCTTGTCCTTGCCACTTTTCCTGCAACATTGTTTATTATTGTGATGGAATATATGTTTAATGCTTGCTGCAAGAAAATTCCAAGTGCGTCTCAATGTGCGTTCCTAGTGACATAAAATGCGGTGAGGACGAAGCTGTGCCTGCATGTGCGCTCATGAGCTAATCAGTGAATATTCTTATTTGGTTGATCGTATCTCAATGGTTTATAGAAAGCGATTAACAAGTTTTTCGAGCTGTGGAGTGGTAAATTGCATCTAGATGAAACGAAGAGAACAAAATAACTTTTTTGTGTACGTATATGAAGTAAATTGAACAGATAATCCCTACTGTTTAGAGCATGCAACTGTGCAAATGCCTGTTGAAATCAAGCTAGAGAAATACAGCTACAAATCTACAAGTTAAGCTAAAGGGTTATTATTTCGAACTACTCTGGTTGTCGGTGATTTGAGCTTTGAAGTTGTTGATTGCTTACCATCCGTTATTAATTTGTTTGTGCTTGTTGATTTGCTTGATACAACTATGAATTGTAAGTTGATTTAGGTGCTCGAGGAAGTTGCTCCTGCGGCTTTAATCCGTTGAATGACGTTGGATTTCTTAGCACTTGCGCTTCTTCCAATTTTGTATTTTATTAATCAGTTTCTTGGAAGAGCAATAAATGTTATTCTGTCGCCTGGTGGAATCATATATAGACCCCCACTTAGCCGCTAATAGCGATTGACTATACAAGCCATTTCATATTGGCAGTATTACACTGGGATCTATATTCTACTCTGTTTTTTATAGCCTTAAAAGAAAACATATTGTTCATACCTTTTCCGTACGCAAACACGAATATACATGCATGCTAGCTAGGGCTGATTTTATGGCTAGAATATTTTTATGATGTAGGAGTACTTCATTTTATTTGTGAAAGAAAATCATGTTGAAAGTTTTCTTTTCTTGACGAATATCTATATATTGTTCTGCAGAGACATAATATTGATTCCAGGGATGGGACTCAAAGGCGATTCTTTGCCGAGGTCATCCATCATCATGATAGGAATTGAAAGCTATAGCCCACACAACGGAACAAAACGGAGCAAATACGTACGTACATCAGTACATGTACATTTCCTACGTACGTACTACTGCTATACTCTTCTGCATCATATACATTTCTACATGGAGAATTTTAAAAAGCATATAGTCCAACCCCAACACGCATGAGCATTGCAACTTTAGTTTGTACTCTACACGCGCAGATCGAATAAGTTGAACAATCGGGTATAATTTAGCTTAGCTAAGTGGCACCCACTTAATTAATTAGCTCTCCTGCACATGCATGGTCCCTCACTGATCTCTTATCTCTTTCTACATACATCGATCGAGCCATAATACAAGGCAAATTAAGATATTTAATACATAGACACAGTTATATATAAGTACAAAAGCGCCGTAACAACCAGGAACCCTTGAATAAAATTATATTGTATTCCGTTGCCTCTCCTCTACACAACACCGCGACTCTATCGGTATAAACTATTTGCATTACGTACACAAAACAACATAATTGAGCATCCGGCTGCATGCATCGGTCGATCCAGCTTTGATTAAGAAATGAGCCCTAGTACGTATTAGTTGGCCACAGACCTAAGCTACATGCCTACAAAGATATACATATAGTACTCATATATATATTTATTTATATATCTAAATATCCTATCATGCGTGTGCCTCTAGCCCCGGTAGTAATTAACAAATCAACGAGGAAGACGAGCACATAAAATAGTGCAACATGGAGCCGAGACAAGCGCAATCTAGACCTCGACCTGTCTCTTGTGACCTCTGTGTGTGTGTTGCTTCTCCTGTTCATCACAAGTACTCCAACTCATACTACTACTAATCTCTCTCTCTTTCCTACTTTGCATCGATCGTCCCTCTCCCTCTAAAGTGCAAGAGGCCGGGATATAATATTGTGTACATGCTGCATGTATTCAAATCATTCACCTGCCTAGCTATGAGCTCCATGATATATCCATTCTCGCCTGTGCAAATCCTGCAGCTCCAGGTCTTATATATACTGCCCCTTCTCACCTGACACAGCTCCAACCCATGCACATCCATCCAACTTAATTTGACAGCAACTCACTGCAGCTTAGCTCTCTTTCTCTCTTAGTTCTCTTCTTCTGTAGCAAGTACCACCAGTGCCAAGCTTCTACAGTGTGCTGCTCGCTAGCTACTCGTCTTTGCAGCCATGAGCATGACGAGCCCCAGGCTAAAGCTCTTCGGCTTCGACGTCTCCGAGGAGGAGACGGCGGAGCACGAGGAGCAGTACTCGGCTGAGCCGGAGAGCGCGCCGGTCTGCGGGGGCAACGGTGGCGGCGGAGGCGGCGGCTCGGACTCGTCCTCGTCGTCTACTACGACCACCACGACGGCCACGGCCGGCGGCGACGGGCGGAGGTACGAGTGCCAGTACTGCTGCCGCGAGTTCGCCAACTCGCAGGCGCTCGGCGGCCACCAGAACGCGCACAAGAAGGAGCGGCAGCAGCTCAAGCGGGCGCAGCTGCAGGCGGCGGCCGCGGCCGCCGGCCGTGTCGCGGGCGGCGCCGCCGCGCTCTACCCGCGCGCCAACCCGATGGTCTCCGCCTTCGCTCCGACCCCCCACCTCCTCGGCGGCGGCGAGGCGGGGCCCACCAGCTGGGTCTACTTCTCCCCGCGCGCCGCCGCGGTGGCCGGCGGGGCGCAAGGCCAGCAGTTCCACGTGTCCCACGGCTGCGTCTTCCCCGCCCGCGGCGCCGGCCCTGCCGCCGTCGCCGCCGCCTCGCCGGCTGTGTTCTCGTACACTCCGGCGACGTCTGCCGCCGCCGTCGCCGCGGCCTCGGCACCCTACGTGACGACGGACGAGCACCACGGGCGGAGGATCCACGCGAGCTCGGCGGCCAGCCTTGCGAGATATCCCGGTCCGGCGATGGTGGTGGCGGAGCCGGTGGCCACCGTGCCGGAGGACACCTGCCTGGGGCTTGACCTCCAGCTCAGCCTTGCGCCCGCCGGCTTGTGACTTCACCGCCGCGCTTGCATGAGTTCGCGCGCGTGGTCGACGACGACGACGACGATCCGGCCACACTACTGCGCGAGAGCGAGCTAGCTACTGTTTACTATGGTAAAAAAGAATTAATTACCTACTAGCTGCCTACGTCCGTAGTTGATCCGTACTAAGATCCCTCTCCCTGGCTAGGTAATTAGCACTAGTAGTACTTAAGTAAATTAAGTATTTTTAGCTTCTGGGACTTGGAGAGCTGCATGTAAGCTGCCTGTAACTCCTGTTCTTATTGATATGCATGATTTCAGAGAGATCAATGACCATGGACGCCATGTAAATTTTTGTCCCCACCCTATAGCTTGTTCCTTGCAATTTTCAGACGAAATTACCACCGATTCTTTGGTTGATCTGTATCTAATTAAATTGGAGTGTCCGTGTTTTGTTTTCTAATTAAGGAATTATAAGGAGACAAGACAATTAAGCAAGCAATCTAATTGGGCGTGCATATATACACATTAGCAATGTAATTAACCCTTTTGTGTTTGAGTGCTCCCTGAGTCAGTTTTCCTCTTTCTTTTCTGATGCCACCACCTTAGACTTTGCCCCTTGATATGTTTTACTCCATTAATTAATCATCATTTTTTCAACATGCATGGCTTGTGTACAACAAATTAAGAAGACTAATCAAGCACTAAGATCTTTTTCTAGAGTTAACCCCGGCCCCCAAAATCTGTTACTTTTGCACGTAATCAGTTACTGAAAGCTACCCATAACCTAAATTAATATTACAACTTACAGTGAGCAGCCAGCTAGCTAGTGCAACTCTAGAATTTATATATTTTTGCAGCGTACTACACATGGGTGAATTAGCTCTACTAGGTTAACAATTATCATAGCAAGTTGAGATAATTAGATGCATGCATATGGGTCATTGCAATTGGAAGGATTATGCGTGCAGCACCAAGCTAGCTAGAGATAAATGTTGAAGAGCGCACCAGAGGTGATGTAACAATCTTGTTCCGTGTGCAACAACCTAGCTACCATCAAAAAAATAATATTTTTTTATATAAAAAATGTCCATCACTTGTGCATGCCCAAGTTGTGTTTCAGCGATAGATTCATCATACTGCACTGTTCATGAATACTATTCAGTTCAGTCATACGTGTCAACGACATGCAGCTGATGAGCTTAGCAAATTAAAGATGACGTATGCATCTGTACAAGCATGCATGCAACACGTCACCTTTTTTATCAGCTGGAAATTGACTAAAAATATTAGGAGCACTAATTAGTCCAAGCATATTGCTAATATATTGATCTTGCAAGATAAGCATAGTTAAGTGAAATGAGTTAGGAGATGGCTACTCCGTTAATGGGCAATGGTCTCGGCTCTCAAACAGAAGCAAGAAAATTTCTTTTTATGGTAATGTCCGGCGAATCCCTGCATAGAGATTCTGGTGGGCCCCACACACCTACGCACACTCCGAACTCGGTTCGTCTCGGCCACATAAGCTATAAAAAAACCGGCCTCCACGTTTCGGGCTCTGATTGGACGAATCATCCACCCAGTGAGAGCTCGACACGTGTCCTGCACTCTGTGCCGTCCGATTGGCCGCCTCAGCGACAGCAGCCACGACCATGAAACGTTGGCAAACGCAGGGAAAGCCACACATGGCAGCCAATAGGATCAGGCTGTGCTGCTTTACTCCAAGGGTTTTTTTTGTTTTGTTTAGTGCATGTGACAGGGGTTTAATTGGTACTATTATTTTGTTAATTTTGTAGGCATCCCCTAAACTAATTAAGATTAGCTAGTCAACATGTGCACAGTAAAGACACTCAGGGAATGGATGATGATAGATCATCCTAAGATCCGTATCACTTATATTAATCACAGGTTGCCCACTTTTGGGCTTTATTTTAACTGATCATCCACCAGCTGTCATGCGTGGTCTTATTGGTCCCCTCTTCCTTCTTCCATCCCTTTTATCCCGCCCCTGAAGACCGTATTATAAGACAAAACTGTCGGTGATATATTGCACTCTACGCATATATTAATTATCGGTAGTTCCGTGCGCACAAGCTTTTCCTACCATATATGCTAGGTTCACCGGTTAGAGAGTGCTCCAAAACTAGAGTCCATAGATTAAACACCATTAATTTGTGTGCCTAGCGTAATAATTAATTTGTTGCGACGACGGACTCTTACCAAAAACTCGCATCGCATTCAGATCGATACGAGTGGATTATGCTAGTTTAAACTATACAGGGTTAACCCTATTCGAAGCTAATAAAATATGCAGGTTAATTGTATAATGCCCTACACAGGTCATTATGCAGTCACTTCACTTAGCAAAGCATCATCATATATAAACTAATCGCCATCAGCTGCTATAATTGTACGGGATGCATGTAGAAAGGTTTTGATAGGATGTCTCCAGACAAGCAACTAGCTTAGTTTAATATATAATCCTAGTTAATCTAATTGTCCTTGTCAGATGGGGGTGTGTACCACAGCACCAGCTCAGTCTACTCGACAAATCTATAGCTGACAAAACTGCACATATATTGACCCCCTCTACATCTCTTTAATTGGCTTAATTTAGTTAGCAGTCTTGACGAAATCAAATAAACCAATCATAATTAAACAAGCTAATTGAGAGATGGCATCATCTTTTCTCGAAGATTTACTGGCTAATTGGCTACGAATTGCATGAGATGGAACTACTGGTAATCTAGGCTTGCATCATCTTGGGATCTTGTGTTGCTTGTGGGTTTAGTTAATTGGTGGCCCAAGTACACGTAGGTATAGGTCTTTTAATAAAAAGACAAGCTGTAGGTGACGCATGGCGAGTCCTGTCTAGTGCAGAGAGAATTCATTCTATATCTCTCCTTGGAAGTTTAGACCAACAAGCAAGTTAATTACTCTTTGAAAGAGCTAGCCGGCCATTTTTAATTTACTACTAATTAATTTGTATTCAATTGTTTGGTGACTAAAACCGGAGATGAGCTCTAGGTTGTGGTTTGAATATTTGCACAAGATCAGGAAGGAAATTTATAGCTAAGAAGATAGCTGCTAGATGAAAGGGATGGCCAAATTAACATTTAATTAATTAATTTGTTTGAAGTGATATGCAATTAATCATCTTCTAGAATTGCGATGTATGCATGTGTGGGGCCGGATTGGCAACTTCTTAGGGTTCAAGTTGCCAAATTCTTGTTCCAAGTGATGTGATATGAAAGGTGATGTAAAGCTAGGCATGTTGATAAACATATTGCGCCGGTAGGTTTCTATCCTGATATCAACTCAGACTTGTCCTTCTTCTTCCTGTCTCGATTTTCTGATGCAATTGTAATCTTCAAAGCACCGAATAATTAAGTATTTAATCTGTACCATTTAGTCCACCAGCGTACGCTTTATTTGAAGACTAATTTAGTCACAATTGTACTGCAAAAAGCTTGCTTTCACTAGGCCCATAATTGCTCTTTAAGAAATTATTTTTTTGCCAGAATTAAGCAGCTAGCTAGCACTCATCTGTATGTAGCCGTTGGACTTTTCCAAAATACTAGAGTTCGGCGGTTGCTAGTTTAGAAGTTTTTATTTTGTAATTATTTGTAGTTAATTGTGTGGTCTTCCTGTGATCTGCAAGATGGGTGTTCTAATTTATTGTTTCCGCCCCTGGAAACATGTTTGCCCATTTGCCATTGCCACCTCTTTCTGTCGAGAGAGCTTGCAATGCACGTGATAAAAAAAAATGGTCTCTGATCACTTTCTTATATGCAGAGATGAACCCTCGTACTACTTATATTCAGTTTCAGGGATCGCTTTGTCAGGGTTAACATATTTTAAATCCAATTTGCTGCTACTAAACATTCCTCTGTGACCAATTTGGCACACAATGAGTACGATTCCTTTTGGACTGTGCATTGTCCAGTTTCATCAGCTTTTGTTTGGAACAGAAATGCAGGGGATGAACTGTTTCATGTAAACTTACATGTTACATGCTCCTAGTAGTTCTAAAATATATGTAACTGCAAAGGTTGAGGCGTAATATATATGTTACACAGAACAAATTCTTCTCACTGCTAGTTTGACATATAGTTTAAAATTTCTGTACAAGTGGAAGGCATACTTCCAAAGGTCAATAATTGATCACCATTGCACATTGTTATGTTCTGAAAAAAAAAAGTACCTGCTTTTGAAAGAAGGGGACATAACAAACTGAATGACCACCAAACAACATTTTCCCAAAGCTTTCTTAAACCATACTTGTAAGTTGGACACCCAACCACTAGAAGCAATAAGTTGATGAACCATCATATTTCCCAACAAACTGCTAGCTATGTTGAATTGATACCCTTATTACCACAAGGCACCTAGAAAAAAAATATTTTTTGACCCCTAGGAGTAAAGGCTAAAGAATTAATGCTAGCTAAAACCTTTGGCCTGAGGCCCATGTGAGTCACCATCACCAAGATGTCCCAACTACAAACAAGATCTCAAAAGGGGAGATTTGAAAACACTTTTGTTATGATCTCACTTGAGTCCTTGCATTGATGTAGTTTTATGTCAAGAAAACCTTATCTCAAATGGAACGTGATTAGATTGTGGGCCCTACCCTGCCTCTTATTATATTGTTTGTTTTATAGGCCTTCTCTCAACTTGATTATTATGCGCCGAAAGATTGCATCTTAATTGTGTGATTTTTGGAGAGTTCAAATATGCTATAAGTAATTGCGGTGTTCCCAATTTTGGGCAAGCATCTTAGTTGGCATGCAGCATGCATCCTCTAGTGGAACCAGGACATAAGGTAGAAGCACATCAAATTAGGCTTTGACAGACAAGGATGCACTTGTTGATTGAACCATCTATTTGTCTCCGCTATATAGTCACAATGGTTATTAGTGTTATTATGCTATTCTTGACCAATTTGGCTTGAAGCATTGCTTGATGAAAAGGACCATCGAGGAGAAAAGTCTTCAGAATAGAACATATCTCTTTTATTATCATTATTGAATAGAACATAACTCTTCAATATTCTCTATATTATTTTACTGTCAAATTGATAGGTTGCTGTAATATTCAGTGACGTAAACTCGTTTCTTACTTTACTGTAAGGAAGATGTAAATTCATTTTCATGTATATACGCTTCTCTAGTTTTTTAAGACCCTCTGTGGTTTTTAATGGGTTACTTATATGTCCTTTAATTTAACTAGGAAGGTAGCCCGCGCATTCGTGCGGGCATGTATCGTAGGTTGCATTTGAGAAACTTATAAGATAATGTACTAACGGAATAATACATGCCATATTTCAAAACTATGATTTGTCTATGTTTTCTCCGTTAGCATTGCATGACGAATTTAATTACGTTATTTATAAAATTGTCTATTGGAGATTGGATTTTATGGTACCT